AGCCCTGTGGGAGCGGAAGGCCCTTGCAACCTCTGGTAACGCTGGCGAGAGCAAAAGCAAAAAGCCTGGCCTCTCCTTCCTGAGCTTGCCCTTTCCCGACTCCCATACCTGGAGCCGTTGTCTCACTATGGTGCAAAATCCCATTTTTTTTGCTATGCTGTTTGAAGAAAGTGTTAGTTTTTTCAAGGGTTTTTTGTTTGTTTTTTTACAAATAACTGGAAGCAGTGATAATGTATCTCTTTTTACTGAACTCTTTTCTCTGATGTGTTTATATTGGTATGGAAATGGGATATTTCACAGAGATGTGAAACCAGAAAACATATTAATAATGGTAATCCATTTTATATGAGAATATTTAACTACAAGTGGAGTGTATCAGTATTTTTCTCTTTTGAGAAGGTAATGTTTCCTCACGAATAAAAGCACAGGTTTTAAAAAACATATAAGCAGTTTTCTCTAATACCATATTCCTGATCCAAAGGAATGAACAGGAAGTTTGTTACTGGCTAAAATCTGAAATGAATCGGATGCATTACAGCCTGCATGTACTCACTCTAATCTAAAAATCTGTTCCCTATAATTTATTAATATATATCTTCCTTTCTGTGTTAACCTAGGAACAAGCAATAGCGTTCAGTTCTGCAGCTCAATCTTTCTACATTCAATTCCTACATTTAGTGGAAGTTATACAAATAGAGCAGAAGGTGTCAGCTTTCAGAAGATTTCTTCATTGAAATCTATTCTCCTGACTATTTCAAAATGTTATTTTGCTAATATCTGACAAGAAAGGATTTAAAAATTCAGTTTATGGAATTTGATTTTCTGGACATAAATTTTTCTTGTAAGTCTTAAAAGTGTACCGGAGGAGCCATTACAAACAGGAGCCAAAGCCACCCGTTATATCACTGTTAAATACAAAGACCCTCAGAAAATAACAGTCCAGATGTTCTATTTAGCAGTCTTCCCCTCAGTAATAGTCCATATGTTTATCTGTTAACTCTTAGGTCTTTCTTTAATGATGTACAGAGGGTATTTGCACATACTATGGGACACAGAGACTTCAAGCCTGGACTTACTTGCTATTTAAATGCAGTTTTACTGCTACTCTGGGGATTTCTGAAAGTTTATTCTTAAAGTAATCTGTGCTTTCTTTTATAATGACTACTTCACACGTTTAAAGGAAATTTTTGCTTGAATATTTCAGTGTTTCTAATTTGTCAAAAGACTTTATTTTTGTATCCTAACATCAAAATACCCTGATATTAGGAGATTTTGGACCTTGTAGGAGTATCTATTCTAAGCAGCCACATACAGAATCATCTCCACATGCTGGTACAGAACAAATGAATGCTTACTAACAAGTGGTTACTACAGTTACTACAGCTTACTAACAAGTGGCAACTACAGTTGCAAAATTGGTATGTGATGTGCTGGCTGTGTCTTCTATGAAATTACAAGGTACAGTGTTCAATGGAGCGTTTTATTATTAACGAAGAGAATCAAAGGTAAATAAATCAGGAGCAAGTGCTATGGGTAATACTGTCTTTGTTTTCAGGGTTTTGTGGAAAGCGATTAGTCTTCAGGTTCATGAGGCAGTAATCTTGCCTTGTCTGGCACTCTCTTCACCCTATGGAAGGCTAGTAATAAAGCAGTGGGATGTTCAAGAAAACTTAATACCAGCAAAACTATTTACAAGGAAAACAACATTTTTGAGCAGCTGATTGTTTTGTTGTTTGTTTTACCATGTTCCCAGCCCTCATATTTGAGTTTGGTAAAAATGTATTTTCTCTGCTTTATCTCTGAATAATGTATGGCTCATCTCCTCTTATGAGCATCACTATTCTCAATCTTGTTTAAAGCACTTGATGGTAGAGTTTTTTCCTCTTTTTTTGCTATTCTGCAAAACCAGAGGGAGTGAGAGAAGACACTCCTCTGATTTACTACTTTGATTTATAATATAGTGTGTTTAAGACCCATGTACCAGGACCTGATGTCCTGGAGTATTTTGAAGTCAGATTCCAATGAAGCAAGAGATCAGGAAAACACAAAGTCCTTTGAGCTTTTTGATGATGATGAAAAAAATCATCACTAGTCCTCAATTAAAAAGGTAAAATCACCACCATGACTATTTCTCCACTATCTTTGTGCCCTAGCAACAGCAGCAGTTCTTCTTTATTCTCTTCCCACGCTGCTGTCTCTGATATGCAACCAGGAGTGGTAACATTTGCTTTCCTTCTTTCCTCCTCCTCCACATGGCAAGTGCAGCTGCTGCCATCACCATTGCATTAAATGACAACCCTTATGCTTTGCCTGCTAAGTTGTAGAAACAGCTCTACCTCGGTCAGAAAACTGTTAACCAAAAAAAAATCCTAAATGTGGCAGTTCTCTTGCAGTGTAATGGGACCAAAAGCTTTAAAAATGCCGTGGATTTCCATTTCTGTTTGAATCAGGTGGGCTTTGAAGTTTGGCAAGAAAATGACACACCACAAACTTGAGTTTTCTTAGGGCAAAAAACCTCAAAGGTATTTCCATGTAATTTTAGCTTAATGTAGCAATTTCATTTGCAACCACTGCATATGTTCAGAGACCTGACAGATGTGCTCAGAGAGAAATGAGGGATGTTTACTGGGAATTACCAAATTAGAATCTTGCCAAGCTAAAGGAAGCTATGGACAGGTTGGTTTGTTTTTAAATGCATTTTGCAGTTCTGCTGTTGAATGTTTTGTGAAAACCTTTATGTTCCACACCACATTGTGTAAGAATTTTTAGGTTTTTTTTTGCAGCTGTGCTTATCTTTTAAATCATGCTCTCCGTTTGCTCCTTATAAATCATGATTCCTGAATTACATTTTTTTTTGGTGGACTACACAGTTGTTCTTCACTGTGTTATTGTTTTACGTTTAGCAGAACTAAACTACATTTGGTAGTTCGCGCAAAAGCTACTACCAACTGCTTGTCTTGATGTAGCTACAGAACATGAATCGGATCTCTTCCTCTACTCGAAGTTTTATGAAGACATTGAGAGAAGTGTGCAACCAGCTGTTTGACTGAATTTACAAACAGTTAAAAGAAGTTTCCCGTCTACAAAGAGGGCAGAGTGTTTTCCTTTCAAGGATCATGTGGTGCTACTGAAGTGTTTCTTCAGTTGTAAGTCCAAGGCAATGTTCTGCTGATACAGGAAAAAGCAACATGTACAAGAAACAAATGTTAGTGGACCTAACTTGTTACGTCAGATTACTCTATTGTGATAATAGTGTTTTCAAGGACTCTGTGCAAGTTTTATATTAACTGTGAATCAAGCTCAGGAGTGCTGTTCAAATTGCCATCTTTCCAGTACTGCGGCTTGCAAAGAACCTGTGTGTTAGGAATGGAATGTTTCTTACAAATACATATTTCTGTGTATATACACAGCAAGAAAAACTGCTTGACTCTGCTGTCTTGAAATGAGGAAAAAATGTCTTTTTCTGGGATCTGCCACTTCACTAGAAGAAAACACAATCCCATATCCATTACCTTTCACCAGGCAGTGTTCTCTTTACATATTTTATCTCAAACCTGTGAGGAGAGGGCAGCTACAGGTTTCTGTTCAATAACCCATCTTTCCGTCCAGACATGCAGTTGTATGAATCTGCTGCATACATTATCCTTCAGCTGTTGGTTGGTATTTAACTATCCACAAATGAATAATTCTAAAATATATCTACCACATAAATGAATGATTTTTAACCAAAGTGGCAGTTGTGCCACTTTAATTATTTTAATTGTGTCTTCTCATGAAGTTCAACAAGGACAAGGTCAAGGTCCTGCACCTTGGTCTGGGCAATCTTAAACACAAATACAGGCTGGGCGGAGGATGGATTGAGAGCAGCCCTGAGGAAGACTTTGGGGTGTTGGTTGACAAGAAATAAAACATGACCCAGCAGTGTGTGCTCACAGCTGAGAAAGCCAACCAAGGGGAAAAAAGCCAGAAAGCCAAAGAGAGGAGTCTCTCCCTCTGCTCTGCTCTGCTGAGACCCCACCTGCAGTACTGCATTCAGCTCAGGGGCTCTCAACACAAGAGGGAAGTGGACCTGTTGGAGTGGGTCCAGAGGAGAGCCACAAAGATCATCAGAGGGCTGGAGCACCTCTCCTATGAAGACAGGGGAGTTGGGGTTGTTCTGCCTGGAGAAGGCTCTAGAGAGACCTTCTAGCAGCTGTCAAGTACATAAAGGGGGCGTACAAGAAAGCTTGAGGGGGACCTTTTAAAAGTGCATGTAGTGATAGGCCAAGTGGGAATGGCTTTAAGATGACAGAGGGAGATTTAGATTAGGTATTGGGAAGAAATTGTTTAGTGTGAGCATGCTGAGGCGCTGACATAGGTTGCCCAGAGAAGCTGTGGCTGCCCCATCCATGGAAGTGTTCAAGGCCAGGCTGGATGGGGCTTTGAGCAACCTGGTCTAGTGGCAGGTGTCCCTGCCCATGGCAGCGGGTTGGAACTGGATTATCTGTAAGGTCCTTTCCAACCCAAAGTACTCTATGATTATCTAGTGCTAATACCATCTCTTACCTTGCAGTTTTCAGCCTCTCTTTCGTGGATCTAATGAGCTGGACCATATTTCAAAAGTCCATGGCTAACAAAGCTCTCCACAAGTTCAGGCAGTAAGTATGCGCCTCCTTAGTTATTAATCTCACTGTTTAAATATCCACTGTATGACTGTACATCTGCAATTTCTGCTCAGGGAACCACCATACTAATCTAACTCCACTGGGACACCAAAGAGCAGTGTCCTCTATCCCTACCCAGAGATCGTCGGATTCATGCTGCTTGTAGGCAGAGCAGAGGAAATCTGAGCCTGTATCACTCTTATATGGCCTTTTATTTCCATAGTATCTTTAAGGCCAATAACATGTTAGGAAAGAAAACATTTCCTCCCCCCCCCCCCCCCCCCCCCCCCCCCCGTTATTACAGACTTATCCTTAATAAATGATTACCTAAATCAGATGAGAATTCTTTTTTTTTTTTTCAGTAATGTAATGCTCTCTGAATATGAATGAGTAACTATTTGCTCTCAACTTCCTTAACACAGGTCAAGAATTGCAAGGTTTGGTTTCTCCTTTAAAAAAGGAAAAGGAATACCTCCTGCAGTTTACCTCCCAAAGGCTTCTCTCCTGTATGCAATGATAAAATATGATCCTGATGAGAGAATTGCTGCCCATCAAGCATTACAGCACCCTTATTTTCAAGAACTCTGGCAAGTGACTTCGAATCACTTCAATCTTGAAGACTAAAATTAAAAAGTGGGGGGAGCCCTATATGCTTATTATTTAAAGTGGACTGAAATGAAGTTTGCTTACAGTGGTAGTACTAAGCTTGCAATACAATGAACATAATTCAGTTATTTGCACTGAGTCCATACTTCACCTAAAGCAGAGCTGATGTTTTACTCTTCTTTTTTCCTCAAACTTTTTAGGGCAGGTGAAACACAAAAAATTAAGATTACTGAGAAATACATCAGGGCAGGTAATTCTGTGTTTGTGGCACATTTCAATGGCAAGTCAAAAGACAGGTAATATTTAAGTGGAAGAATTGGCAGACCACTTAGAGAAAGTAATTTGTGGCATTGAGCTTGTTAGCTAGAAACAAATGTTTTACTTAAGCTGACTTAAGGTTTTATTGAGTCTGCCTGAACACTAATCTTGATTTGGTTTCCCCCTGCTCCCAAGCCCTGAAAACACATGAGTTAGAATTTAGAAGCTGTGATACCACACAATCCCTTCAGCAGACTTTTATCATAGTTGCTTTTACTTAAAGAATCACTTCCACATGTTTGGTTTTTTTTTAATATAATAATCTTTTTGCTATCTTTGAACTAAAGAGCTTTATAGAAGAAGTTGTAGCAGAGGCACAAAGTGCTTTTGCCTTTCTTCTCAGGCCTTCAGTCTACATCTTGAGCAAGTAATTTTTTTTACTTAATTATCCTATACTTAGATGATATCCTAAAAGATATGAAAATGAAGAAAATAAGAAAATGGGAAAATCCTAAACTTGTATTTGACATTGGAAATTAAAATAAAAAAATCTGATTAAAAGTTCTGGCAAACTAAAACTCAAGTTTATGTTCAAGCTATGTGAAAAATACTCAATATACTCACTCTGAAGAGTTCCCTGTATCAGCAAGGTGAGACAGAAGTCAGTACTATGTGAAAATCCCTCAAATACAGGTTTTTCTCAAAAAAGCAAACTGCATTAGCAAAAAAAAAAAAAAAAATTATGAATTATTTTCTGCTGTGCATTTAACCTCAAAGGCACAAATTCTCCTTCCATAGAAGCAGCGACTTTTTCCACCAGTTTAACTCTGCGGTTCATCAATGTAGGCTTTGTAAGGAATTCCTTTGGGAAAAACTGCAAGAAATATCAAGTGAGGCAGGAATTTTTAAAAAAGAATTAGCTGAAGTGGCATTTGGCAGAGCTCAGTGAGCTCAGTACACACCCTGCATCGAGCTTTTTATTTTCCTTTTAGAACCTGATGAAGGAGAAGGTTTGTTAAAAATAACATGAAAAGATTCTTTGAGCTTCAGTATTAGAATGGAATATTATCTACAAAATACAGGATTTCATATTACATTATAAATGACAGCTAACCTTTGTATAGCATTAGATGTAAAAAAATCTTTATTTTTCAGTCAGCTGTGGCAAGTGCTCACCTCCTGTGTTCAGTAACTTCAACCTCCACTTTTACTGAGGATGTGCCGATTATGAATAGTAAGAGGTACTTAATTTTGATGCAGTTTCTGTAATTGCTGAATAATGCTAGAGAACTATAATGTAGCTAAAAACTAAAGCAACTTTTTATCTGATTCAAAGCAAATAAAATATAGTTTTCTTCAAGCTTTAACAGAGAATGATATTGCAGCTAGTTGCTTAAAAGACTAGTATGGGCTTTTACCTTATGTTTTAGAAATTTTGCTCAGATCATCAGTAACTGTTTCCTAGTAATTAAAAGGCAGAGTTTTTAACTCACTTGGAAAGAGCCATTATTGCAGTTTCACACTATTGATTTTAAATCTCTGAGGTATCTTAAAAAAATCTGCCGTAATTTATTTGCAATGCTTAAATTTGGTGATGTGTTACAAAACAGGTTTGCTGTTTAAGAAGCAAATGTGTTTGTACAAGTCACACTTAGCTGGGGGTTTAAAAGTCTTCTGCCTACCAAGTACGCATGCAAGACAGGTTTTGCCAATAACCTTTTTTGTGGTTTTTTATTAGTTCTAAAAGCTACTCTGCTCATAACTGGGAAGCGATTAGCTTTTCTTTCAGTAATGACCCCCCTCTGGGACTGCTTCTGCTCAACACTTTCTGTATAATGAACAACTGAAACACAGTCAAAGACAAGGCAGGTGGGGGCCATGTTGTATACACAAACTCAGTACAGGGTTTTTATGTATATATATATGTACGTATGTATGTATAAAATAAAGGTGTGATGCTAAGCTTAGGAAGTAGAATTAAGGACTGTAGGTCTGCAGGCAACAAAGCGTAACTGTAACCTCTGACTGCGTATCTCAATCAAAAGTGTCATGAGCTTATCCAGTGTTTTTTCCCAGAGGGGAAGATGGTGAGTTGCTTGGTGCCAGTATATTTGGAGTTAAATATGGTGTGCAGCAGTAAAAATGGTCTAAAAATAGGTAACTTATTGTATCTATGGGATCTTCTTGCTCTCTGCAATTACTAATTTCTTACAAGATTAAAAAAACAAAAAGGACAAATCCTTCTACTGACATCTGACTGATCATTCAGTCTCAGAGTTCTATTCCTAGCATTACACGTTAGGCTGAGACTTGTATTATTAAGAGTATGTTCTTTGATAGAGATATGTTAATTGCATTGGTAGTTTCCCGTAATCTTTTTCTGGAAACCTAAACCCACAGATGCTGAAGTTTAAATATTTCAACTAAAAAGAAAAAAAAATCCCTCAGACTGTGTCTGCACAAGGTCTTGTTTGATTTGAAAAGTGTTATTGCAAATGTTTGCTTCTATTATTGATGTATCAGGTAGGTAATTATTCATACACCAGGAAAGTGGTTATTTTTTGATAAGGTCAGAATTTTGGTAAGTTTAAACTTGGAGAGAAACAGCAATCAGCGTAAAGTGTTGTGTATTTTAATTCTGTCTTTCATAGTCACTATCTACCTGTGGCTGTCAAGGCTGTTCTAATGAAAAAGGCCATTTCACATTCAGCAGATTGCTTCCGATATGAAAATTAGAAATTTGAAGGGAAGGGCCACATTGGAATTTTTCTTTATTTTACACTGTTTGGCACATATGGTGCTTCACAGTTAATACCAAGTTCTTTGCTGTTATACCTCCGGAGAGAACTTGGACTTCTCTGGCTGTTGATTAGTTGGCAAACTTGAACTTTCCCACCTGCTTTATAGTTAAAATACTCTCAACTTTAAGCTACAAACTGGCAAGTCTTCTTTCTACTCTCATTCTTCCAGCTAAAATTCCATAATGAACTGATCTGTGTTCCACTTGCTTTTATTTTTTAACATAGTTGGAAAATATTATGAAGAGCTGTGTCTATAGTAGAACTCAGAGTTCTTTTCAGGTAAGTATCCCTTTTCTTCCTGGAGTATTTTTTTTTCTACATGGAATAAAGGGTGGGATGGGCAGTTCAAGCTTCTAGATGACATCCTGATAGCAAAAAGGAGGCTGAAAAAAGAACTACCACAGATGTTCCTTGAACTGTTGAACTATGTTGAACTATGAGAGACATACTCCACAAACACATATGCAAGCAGCTGCAATTATTATCCTAATGTTGGATACGCTGATCCTTTCCATAGGGGTTTTGTATTTTTCCAGCTCAAGGAAAAGTCTTTTAAAGTCATTACACATATTCTCAACTGTTTCATTTTGACTCAGACCGTACGAAGCGTTTACATCAGGGAGGTAACTACAGTAGTTTTCAGTGCTGAGGTTTATCTGTATTTTAACAGTTAAACCCACTATGTTAATAAAACAAAACTTCTGAACAATAATCCTGCTCAGTTTCAGTGCTTTCCCCATTCCTTATACTTTAGAAGTATGTAAGAAAGAATTGTGAAGTACAGCTCCATCTTTAATAACATAGACAAGCTAACTGCCAGCTTATAAATGTATCGGATGGTTTTCTACACAGTAGCTGAATTACAAGAATTAGACTTAGTTACAAGTAGCTACTGCAGTTGTTTCTTCCCAAATTTTCATTCATTTCCTGGGAAAAAAAAAAAAAGAAAAATTAACTTCTTATGCCAGAAAATATCTAAACTTTACTTGCAGTTTAAAAAATTCTACCCCACTTTACTACTGCAAGAGCAGGAAGGGCATTAACATGTGCCCTCAATGCGCATGCATACTCGGGCAAGTTCCACATTCCCAGGCTACTGGCCTCTATTCTGCTCTGCTCTGCCTGCTGCAGGATTCAGCAAAAGCCTAATTGAGAACACTGCCATATAGGGAATAGAGGAAGATACAGCAGGTACTTCTGTTCTCTGTCGTTCTGGGGCTTGACACAAAGCAGTATCTCTTGGCGGGGGGGGGGGGGGGGGGGGGGGGGGGTCTTTGCAAGCACTACTGAAAACAATTTAAGTGTTCTGTTGCAGAGTGATTAAAATTACCACGCATTAAGACAAGCAACAGTGAACTGTACAAATACACCACTACGTCTACCTCCGTAACACTTAGCAGCTTAAGAGTGTTGAATTATAAATGAGACATCTGATGTAAGACAAACAAGTTGTCTCAGAAACACATCAACTCCAATATGTTGACCTAATTTTAGATTGCCAAGTCAGAAAGCGTGTACATCTACTACTGCTGGATCTTCCACTTCACAACTCCTGGGACTGTGTGGTTACGAAATCCTTACCCTGCACATTTGTCTCTCTGCACAATTTTTCCTGTATGATGTATTTAGAGATAAACCATTACAAGAAAGAGCAAAACAATGTTATTTTACTTTCCTAATCAAAATTCAAGTATATTAAATATGAAGTCATGTTCTAGATGAGATAATTTTGAAAGGAATTTGTTGTACAAAGTTTAGATGTTATATCTGTACCAAACATTTAATTCAACAAAGGACTGATTACATCAAAAGTGATTGAATTTGAACAAAAAGTAAACAAAAATGCATATTCAAGATAGTTTAATATGTATTTTCTGAATTAGAAATATCACTTTCTTAAATGAATGAGAAGTTCTAGTGTAATGATCCGTTACTCCCCTTCCCATCACTCCATTACATTATTTATACATATAATACAGAGCCAATCGCAGTTGGAAACAACAATATTAAAATAAATGTTTAATAGATACAAAGGATCTTTTCTTCACAACGTAGTTTTTCTGGTGTCTGGACACCATTTTAAAAGTAATTTTCTATTAGCATTAAACTATTTAAGTGCAAAACAATTTTGTTTTAAAAAATCTATGATTGCAGCATCCATCTTCCTGAATAACATTTTGAAGCCAGAAAGTAATGACTTTCATTTTCCATGAGTGCATTCCAGGCTGTCTTCTAGCCATCTCTGGTTAAAAAAATCAGTGCAAAATAAACAATGGTGAAGTACTAGTTTAACCATTGAACTTACTTGAATTTAAGAAACATACTTTATTTTACATTATGTATATATATCTTTTATTTATATATTTATAGAGAGATTAAATTACACTGTACTTGAAAAGTATAAAGAAAACCAAAAATGTTACTATTATTTCCTGCAGCACCAAAGGAAGCTTTCCCCCTGCCACGAAAACCCTTCCTTGGGTGCGCAGATTAGCAGTATTAGCTGTAATAAGAACTCATTACATTATTCCTTTGCAAATTACTATGTGATTCACATAATTCCGTGTTTACACTCTGCCACATTACAATTTGTGATGCTCTTTGCCTGAAGAACAGCTCCTGGTTCCACTGTCATTACTTCTTGTCCTGCGTTCAGAGGTTTGCTAGCAGTAGTGTGATGGCTATACTACAGTTCCACTTGGAGAATTGGCCTGGTTTTGGGATGACAATAAACCCTGCAAACAAAGCAATTTACATTAATCCAGCAAGAGAACCTGACATTAAGTTTATAAAGTTCTTAGACTGAAGCTAAAATGAGTACATTTTATTTTTACCACCAATTGCTTACTTTAGACATCAGCACCTTCTTCCCTACAAAAGAATCTAGGCCACTACTGTATCAGTCAGGCAGCATACAAAAGAGCTCTTGGTAAGTAAGAAAGCAAGCATGTGCGGTTATGACACACAGTGACTCTGATCCCAGCATTTGATTTAATCTACCTTGCATTTTGATTCATTGCAAACTGCAAAATGTTAAAAACCATACATCAGAAAAGTGATCAGTGTTTTATTAGGGTACCAACAAACCAACCTGTTCCAGTATCAACAAGGTTGACATCTAACCTGATACAGGGAAACAATCTCTGAAATGCTACTGAATTATTACAAGCTTCAAATAGAAAAATAGATTATCTACCCAGGTAGTTATTCTGGTAATTTGAAGAGAGAATGAAACACTGAGCAAGACTTCATAAAAGATTCCCCATTACAATTTAAGTTTGCATTCAGGAGAGCTTTTCACCAGCTCGTTTAACAACATCACTGCTTAAATAAAATGAGACTTACTCATTTCAGACGTCACTGCACAACTGCATGGCACCCGTTGCTACACAGAGGCTGCTGTAATGATTTAAGACAACTATACCTTACGGATAGGTATCAATGAATAAATTCCATTTCAGATTTATGTATACTAGCCCCTTTTCAATCATTTACATAAAGATAACTGTGTATCAGACTTAATTAGGAAAAGCTTAATACAAAAATACAATCTGGTCTTCTTGCAAGGTCATGATTTAGTTGTAGCAAGTGCCAGCAGGCTGAGGAGGACAACGGCAGTTAAGCTGGAAGCACACCAGTGAGTATCACTGTGTGACTCTACTATGCAAGCATGGTAAATGCACTTTTAGCAATTCCTCTCAACAGCTACCAGCTTAGGATCTTACTTCAAAATTAAGATCCTGTGACTCAGATCCATCAAACTAGACAAGCTCAGGCAGACAACTGGCATATAACACAGAATTAGCCTACAACTTCAGAATCTACAGGAGCTCTTTCTTGCTTGGATCCAAGAACTGAAAGATCATAGCTGGGGGAAGAGAACCCTTTCCACGGAAGAGGTGGAAGGAGGGCTGCACTGGCTGGATTCAAGTCATCAAGTTCCTGCTAAAACCATAGCCTGCCCTTTCAAAACACATCTAATCTACTGGCTCAGATCTGATGATTCTGGATACATCTGCAGGATTTATAGCAGACTATGTGTATGTGTACACACATTTATATAAAACAAATGTATGTGGTGCTTCATTTGGTATCCTCCATAGATCACACCTGCAGGAACCAGAACACTCTATTTTTACTTGTTTACATAGTGGATATCAGATTCAAACATCATTGAGGTAGACTGAAGTAGGATTTCTTTAAACTTGTTCAACACTCAGTACAAAGATACTGCCTATTTCACAAGAAGAGAACAGGAAGTTTCCTAGCTATTAGTTAAGGAATAGATGGTGAAAAAAAGGCAGAATTTTGAAGCAAACAAGCTACTGAAGCACTTCTGAAAACGTTTACCAAGAGAATTTTGTTTGAAAGTAATGGAGATGAATCAGAACTCTATATAGTTCATTACTGAACATTCTTCTTAAAGCCAGCACTGAAAACAGTTTCTTACTGGAAGGTCTTCCTTTTCAGAAGATTACATCCCCTAAGCAACTTTAAGTACCCTGGAAAAAGACATCCAAAAGTATTATTTTCAGTCTTTAATAAATCAGTGATCCAAGCTGTTCATAGGCAAATACATGCTTTCAAAGCACATAAAAAGTACCAGAAATGACATAATACTGGGTCTTTTTCAACAGGTTCATAACCATGCTTTGCAGACAAAGAGAAATAAGCACTATTCTACTATCAGATTTACACTGGAACACAATCAGTTTTTGGGAAACAAAATGAAGAGTTATTCATTTTCCTACAACTCCTCTAAAAATCCTTGCTCTGCATTAATTCTGCAACTGTGAACAGGCAAGCCAGAGGATCACCAAGTGGAAAGAATCTGACAACCGGTACCCTTTTGTTACTGCAGACAGGGGAGAGGTCAGAAGTTTTGTATATCCTCCCAAGTACTGAATTTCAGAAGAGACCTCATATTTCACATAGGAACAGCAAAATAATTCAGTTTTAGGCACAGAAGTTTTACCAAAGTTACGAGTGTTCTCAGTGGGCCCTGAGTAACAAAAAGATTCTGCAGAATTTGCCATTGTATTGCAGCCTTTCAAGCAAGGGCAGTTTAAGAAATCATGTTAGGTGCAACATAGGAAACTTAAGAAAGTCATGTTAGAAGAGCAAAAGAAGGCTCAAAAGTTTGATGCAGAAGCTACTCTTAAGAATCTGATCTGTTGTACAAAGCGTGTGGTACTAGAATATCTGTAATTGCATTCTCTGGGAATAATACAATAGATAAGGTTATAAAAAAGCCACAGAAACCTCCTGCCTCTAAATGAATAAAGAAACTGGGCTGCAATGCTTTCTGTGATGAAACCATCCAGCCTTGGCAACAAGGTGGTAAAAGATGGAAGAAAAGCTGCAGCAATGAATAGTGCAACAGCAGAGCTGTACAGTTCAACAACCGTGACCAAAGAGTTGAGACATGAGCACTGCAGATCTCCATGTGGTACAGTGCATCAACTCAGAGCTAAGCAACAAACACATCACACCAAGCGAGCAGCAGAAACAAATTAAGAGATTGTTCAAAAAAGTTCTGAAAATAAAGGGAGTCTTTTATTAGTGGTGTCATTCTGTAAGCATGTGGGTCTTAGCAGGGGGTGGGAAACAGAACAGCAAGGAGACCCAAGTCAGAAATTTGCTAAAGCAATCCTCAGAGAGGGTTCTCCAAGTAGGTCCTGCATCTTCTGCCATCATAATGGATTACTCTGCAGCTGAAACATGCTTCTTTCCCAGAGGATGGTATTTTTCTTACATCAATTAGCAAAGGGAGAGTACTGCATGCAGGCTGTTTCAGTGCTAGTTGCAAAGTCTGCTCCAGGTTTGTCTCTGCATTCTTTGACTTCCCTAAACACTCAGGACTTGGCATATTCAGTAAAAATAGGCATGAACAGGTAGGAATGAAAAGCCATTAACAATTACGATCCAAAAGGTCCTTTCCACTGACAGCTGTAGCACTCACAACTGTCCCCTGTCCAGAAAGGCCCACAGCAGTCTTGGGGTTAATCATGCTCACAACAGGCTGGGGGGGGGGAGCAGTGTGGGGTTGGTGTTTACAGAATTCCACATGCTTCATCCAGAGTCTGTTTTTTTTCCCCCAAAGATCTGAAACACAAGGTTTCACAACAGAAACTATGAAACACGAGTCCAGAACTGCTGTATTTAAAAAAAAGTCAAGACGATACCAGTATTAAAAAAAAAAAAAAAAAGCACCAGTAACTACTGAGTTAATATTTTCTTCATGTAAATTAGAACAGGATTCACTGGAGCCAAAGATGCAATCATATGCTGTTTCACTAATACAGAAAATAAACTGCAAGTCTGAACACACAAGCAGGAGATGGGAAATGGATGGCAATGTGCTACCTCACAATGCTCCTGGCACATGCTCAGCCTTCGCCCTCCTCCAGCCAAAGAACTCAGCTCCTGCTCAGTAACTTGCTGGACTGCTGTCAGAACTCTGCACCTCTTGCCTACTTTCTGTTTAGAAATCAAAAAGTAGAAAAATCAAAGGGTCCAATGTAACAACCAACATAAAAAAAACCCTGGGGTGTCTCCCAGTGCACTTCACTGAAACAGTTAAACCAAGTTTTAAAAAAGGCTGAATTAATCACTGCCCATACAAAAATAGCACTGATTTGTTAAAGCATTTCTGCTATTGCTAGTATATGAAATAATGGGGAGGGGATTTATGATTCAAAGAATATTCCATATTTATTCCTGTAAATATTCCTGTAAATAAAAATTCCTGTAATTTATTCCTGTCCAGAAGTGTGATATTCCTGAAGTAATCTGAAAAAGCCATCTGGACCTTTGTTTGACAGAAGAGCCCACAGTCCAATACAGTATTTGAGCAACAGCAAAATGCCAAAACAGAGTGAGATTTTTCACATTTGTTTAAAATTCTGTAGTCAAATCAGCTGAATTGGTTTTAAGAGTTACATGAACAAAATCTCCAACAGTTTCTTATCCAAACGATTCAGCATTTATTAGCTTAAGTCTCTGAACCGCATATACTCACTAAATCAAGATGTAATGGAGTCATAAAAATCAATTGAGAATGGTCAAGGAAGCACATGCTGAACATTTACATAATATACAAGATACATTTTGTATGGGATTTAGGGGGATACAGCAAAGCTGATAACTTTACATAGTCTATGTATTCACTTAACAAGAGTTTCAAGTGTATTATTTGTCTTCTGCTTGCCTTTTAATTCTTTGTTCTAGTACTGTTACAGGAAAGTATAAATGCTTAAACCATCTGATACTGCTAAAAGCATGTAGCAGCATCAAGGGAGTTTCACTTTTGACTTTTCTGTGTACATGAGGGAGTTTCTTCTCCTGAGAGGTGTATCACCATTTATTCATTGCCAACAAAAAGCAAAAATCAAGCCTGCTAGAAAGACAGCAAACTAACTAAAAATCTGCCTTGTGGCATTAGGCAAGAGTGCTTCAAGACCAGCATAGGACTGGCAAATGGAAGATAGACAGATGCAAGAGAAAAAAAGTAAGATGCTACTATGTGAATCAGAATCACAGACTACTGGGTTGGAAGGGACCTCAAGAATCATCTGGTCCAACTTTCTAGGCAAAGTATGACCTAGACAAGATAGCCCAGCACCCTGCCCAGCATAATCTTGGAAGTGTCCAATGCTGGGGAATCCACCATTTCCCCAGGGAGATTATTCCCATGGTGGATTGTTCTCATTGCAAAAATTTTTCTCTAGTGTGCTGGGAAAAGCAGAAAAGGCTTTTGCCAGCAGAAACCTTATCTGGCTCGAGCAATAGAACTTCAAGCTTCGTTTCAGTAGTAACGGCTCCCATACTTAAAGGTTTCTCCAGCTTCCTCAAATACAAAAGCCACAAAGATTTAAAATTTTCAGATTAGAAAAGAATGAAATTGACCTAAATCAGGGAAAATATCAGGGAAAAGCATATGACTTAAAGCAATACAATTTGGGTTAGTTGTAAAATAAGTGTGGTCTTAGCAGGAGAAGAAATGAGCCAAATGAATTTGGTAAGGTTGATGAGCACCTACCAAAAACCCCACTTCAAAATGCAGAAAATAATGTGAACATACAAGTTATTTCCTCAAGATTTTTGAGCAATGTTGTTAAAGACAAGCAAGACAACTTTCATGTTCCATGACATCTTTTGCCAAAGGATCTTCTATGACCACAGAACTTGTGGAAGATAGTTTCATTTCATCCTTGCATTGACTGCTGAGAAACTAGTTTGACCAACCAGTTCTTGCATCATTTGACGTAACTGGATGTTCCCAGAAGCTATCAGGATGGATTTCATTTTGTTCCTCCACTGGTATTTGTTCTTTATACATTTTTATATTTTATATATATGTATGTATATACACATATATTTGTATATACACGTATATATACACACACCATCACAGTGGTCAGTCAATACCTTCTGAAGTACCAGAAAGTTCTTAAGTTCACGTAAGAAAGACTGATTTCCTCAGCTTTATTCTACAGAGCATTTTTGCTTAACAGATGAACTGAGTCCTACCTCAATTAGTCTCGGCCCAAAGTAGCTAACTGCTTCTCAACAGTTAACTGAAATTTCTTAAAAGTGCCTCTGAAACACTTTAGTAAGTGCAAGTTCTTTGGCTCCTCCATCAGTTAACACAGAACCACACCCGCAAGGGTGATGCAATCCCTAGGCCACTCAGATGGAAGGGGAACATCTTAAGTCTTCACCTAAATTGGTTCCAAGAAATTTTGCAGCCAGAGTTTTGGACTGGTTTATAGTTTTAGTTGAGACGAGCTTAGTTCTAGAGAAACCACAGCTTTTCTAGACAGAAACACCTGAATCAGCCATACCCGCAGGGCTGTAAATTCGGCATTCATTAGGTAAATATCAAGATCCAAGGCTGGAATAAAAAACATACCCCGCACCAAAGTCCACTAAGGAAAGAGCTCCTGTAGAGTCCTAGAATAAACAACACTCTGCCCCAGCTCCTACTTCACAGGTAGGCAGAGAGGATCTAAATATGTCTGTGTTTAACTGAATCTGAGTTTAAACCAGCTTGACAAGTCGTTTGGTAAGTATTCTATTTCTTATTACTCTAGTCCTAAACAAAAGCAAGTATCATGAAACGTGACCTTATCAGCAAGATTTAAACATCAAAACATACGCATCATCTTGAGATGAAGTGAAATATTTACTCAGAACAGGTTACAGGATGTGATTATGTTCTTACTTTAAAATATGGCAAGTTAACAGCTTTCATTGTGGCCATTTGTTAAGCATGTTACGTTAGCATAAGACCACCTAAAGACTGCAAGATAAATTAAAACTCAAATGTGGAAAGGATTATTGAAAGTTATCTACATTTACAGTTCAATCACACATTTTTATTTAACATCAGTATACAGAGGACAACCCCAGCAAGTTATTTTGTAATGTCAAGTATTTAGTAAAGTTCTTCAGCTGTAACAGTGACAACAGAACAGCTAAAAATAAGCAGTATGAAACAAACATGATCTTCTTAAAATTATAAATATACCAACAATACTTCTTAAAGCTTAATTATTGCAACAGTTAAATTAACAATAGTTCATGTTAGAAAGGCTCTATGAAATTTATTCAAGTTGTCAAGAAATTAGATGGAAGTGTAAAAAGGAAATACATATGAATTTTACTTCTGATTTTCACTAAAGGTAGTCAATACAATTTTGTACAGTATCACCTAACATGTCAATCTTTAACAAACTCAGTATACAGAATTCATAAAATGCAAAAAAAATATTGTTTAATCTTTACACGTAAATTGACAGTAAGTTAACTGACACAAATTTTATTACTGTAACATAAGCAGGCCAGCATTTTAAATATTAATTTAGTAGCTTTATGTTGTTAAAGGGGCAGATGTATACAGTCATTCCAAGTACATATTTTGAATAGGTGATAATTCAGAACATGGGTTTTCTAAAACGTGTTTAGTAAAAGTAATGTTATTTCCTAATCCAGACATCCTCATCATAAAGCCTTTACAGGGTTATGATCTCTCCTGGCTGTATTCAAGCCACTAGTCACACCTCCTCACGCACATGCCCTGCTATAAATACACATACCTTGCTATAAATATCACACCAGTGTTCTAGGTTTAAATTCACCCTGACAATGCAGGTATGCTATGTGCAACTTTGCTATTATGCACATTACAGAAAGCCTCAAATTTTAGCTTGGTAACCTGAAGTCATATAGCTGTGTTTCAGTTTTACTATAATCATCCCTGAAGTTTATACAGATACCGTATCACGTTGAAAGAACTCTATTTGATAGTACTTAAATACCAGCAATTGAACTTCAATTGTAATGATGAAATGATCCTTTCCACTCAGGAAGAATTAGTATGTATAGCTGCTCATCTCACTCAAATATAGTACATGAATGTTTAAGTACTTTCACTAAAACAGAAGTCATACTAAAACATGATACTGTACTACAGTTGTAGTTAACTAGAAAATTCAAGGATGTTATAATTTAAGTCTAAGATCTCCTGTACAATAAATCAAATAAATAAATTCCATGTGCATTTGTTTTACAAAATGGTAGCATGTTTATCTTGCCAGGTTATACACTGCCATTTCACCTGTTCATTCTCTGGCCAATCTTACCTTGAGCTTTCTTACAAAGGAAACTCATCAGCAAGTTTCACTTAGATAACATGGAGTCACTGTACAAGATGATCAATAGTTAATTCTGAAGTCAAACACAGGAATCACATAGATAGTTCCTCTGATTGCTAAGTTCAGAGAAAGCTTGTTTTGCATATCCAGGTACCACTTTGGTTTTTTCAGAGTTCTGCGAGTTGTTTCTGAGTGGGGTTGTTTTTAATTGCTTCTGCAAGTCCTGTAACTCAGTCTGAAGTAGCTATAAAGATAGCACATGAAGTTTACCTTGGTTGCTTTAAAATTACTTTTCTGTGTTTTCAAATGAATACAATCCCATTCTATAATCCCATTTAGAGTTCTCAGCAGGGCCTAAGAAAGATGGGGGGGGGGGGGGGGGGGAAGGAGGCAACAGCTAATTGTTACCATGTTGAGAAGAAAGTTCTTACTCTTGCTAAGGCAATCTATTTTTCTCACCACCCTGAACATTCTTCCATAGACACAGGCTACAAAAAACAAGAGTAAAAACTGGAACTAATGAACCCTTAGCCTCATTCACCTTGTTTCTAATTGAATTTTGCCATTCACCTCACTCTGAGTGGGCGTTAGTACAGCAGTTCTGGAAGTGCAATGCAAGAATGGTATATCCAGTGAGGAAGCTCAAGGTATGATTATGTATACACAAAGCAATTTAGAAAAGTTTATAACCAACTGTCAGGCCCCTCTGTAAGGGCTGTACAGCCTAATAAATATCATAAGGATGACATCTGAAGAGACATTTATTTCTCCCCCGTCACCTCCCCACTAAGGGCAGCAACAACCCAACCAGAAGAGAACTTGTCATACACTGTCCAATTATCCAGCACATCTTTTGATGGCTATTCAAAATGAGAGAGAAAGGTAGCGCTGGCTCAATGGAAATTATGTTGGACACTGCAAGCCTGCTTCAGTTTTCCATCCAATTCTTTCTTTAGACTGGCAGTGGCATGAATTTAATGAAGGCCTTCAGAGGCAATGATGGAAGAAGCAGCAAGATTCAGAGGCTTTCACTCTAGAGTTGGCAGACAAAAAAGTGATGGAGTTTCAAGATCACTTGGGGACCCACATTTCAAAAGGAAGACTAGAAATAGCAGCTTTAAACCCCAGAGTAAAGGGACAGACTAGGATAAAACAGCTGGCAAAATGGAAATGATGGCATATAACCCAGTAAGAAAGACATTACCACGAGTGTTTCATACTTCAACAATTTTCATTAAATAAAATTAAGTGCTTTCTCATAAACAAAAAGGGTGCTCATAAAGTCCTTCTGGCACAAATATTTTCCTATCGAAGCCCTGTAAACATGCCACCAAAGTTTAGTTTTTACCAGCAGAGTGAGCTCACTAGAAATGCAAGTGAAATCAGAAAAAAAAAAATCATTTCAAAGTTTCTAAGTAAATACTTCCTAAACAATATGGCATTTACATCAGTGTGCAATATATTAATTTTGAAAGTGATAACTTCAGCATGAAAATTACTTACCTGTAATTAAAGTTTTCCACATTGGCCAATACATAAATCCTGATTTTTGGTACTGCATACTTTATCTCTGAAATATTTGAAATGTCATATTCCAAATCAAAGTCAACACACAAAAATATTTAAGTTATACCCAGCCTAACAAAGCCCACCTCAGCCACTGGAAGTAATTTAACAGCGTACTGTTTAGTAGTACATAAAGGAGTTTTAGAACAAAAGGAAAATATAGGGCACACTGGAAATCTGAAGCAGTGCTGTACATTTATAAAGTTAATTCATGAGACTTGAATTGCACCAAGTCACAGAAGTGGTAACTGCCTTAGCATTTGCATTCAGGACAAACATTTTAAATAGTTCAGTATTTTGGGGGATGCTCTTTTTTTTTTTTTTTTTACTAAATTAATGCTGGCTCTGTGGTTGTGAGGCAAAAAATAGTTTTAGGTAACACTCTTCTTCCTTCTCCCCAAAAAAGGGCTTACAACTTTTAGGTTTAGATTCAGCCTTCAACTATGCATTAAGATGCAGAGCAGACATAGCTCTGTGCATACCTGTGTTGTGACAAATTTGATAACATCTCAAAGATAATTACACTATACGAACAAGTTTAAGAAAAATTACCGAGTTTTACTAAAAAGCTTCTATCAATGAAGATGTGGTATATAAATATATACAGTACCTCCACTTCAAAAGTCAGATTTATGAACCAAATGGTTAAAAGCTTTATGAACCTAATGAACAGCAGATTTTCATTTAGGCTGCCCAACACAGCTATTAGCAGATTACTTAATTTTCTTCAGGTGATAACCTACATTTTCACAAAAATAACAGTGTTTTTTGGTAGATCAACTCTGGTGATGCTTTCATAGCTGTATTCCTTTAAAATGTTGCTGGCAAAAAGAGCTATTGTAGCACAAAGTACTTTTTAACAAAATAATCACTATGGTTAGCTTCATTCAAAATTTAGCTTGCTATGCATTGGACAGAAGTAAAATGAAGTTTTATCTGTGTTCAAGTGCATTTAACAACACGATTTAAAACTTGTAGCATATCTTAATGAGGGTTCAACTGATAGAATAGGTGCCATCAAAAAACACAAGTTTGTTGATGATCAAACTGCCTAACAAAACCGACAGTAACTGAAACTACTCAGAGAAAGCTGGCATGGTTTTCCCTAATTTAACAAATACATAAATCAAGACCTGGCTAAAATTAGAGTTCTTTGATTATACCGAGTCACAATTTCAAGAGCATAAGCTACAGTCAGTAAAGGGCTAGCAAATTTGTGCATAAAATGACTGATGCTTTAATAAGAAGTGATTTTACATTAAAGGCAGGCCACCACAGAAAAGGATAGACGAATAAACACTTTGGTTTTAATTTTTTTCAGAGGCTCATATTTCTCATTAGACTTAAAAGCCGCAGCTTTTCACAAGCTACTCTCACTAGAAGTGTTGTATTTTGTAGAAAACATTAGAAGGATTATCATTATTTTAGTGATGGACAGGTTTTACTTCAATCTTCACATAAACAGCTTTCACCATATTGTGGTTATGCTTAAGTATAAGAACACTGATCAATAGTTTAGATGCACAGTATTTATTTCTTCTGCTGGAAGGCAACTATACTTAATTGTATCCAAGACACTTCAAATCATTCAGAAATATGGCATGCAGTATCCAAAAGTATGGCTCTGAGGATTTTTTTTTTTTACATTAAGCATAAAGAAATTTTATAGTCAACATTCATTTATATTTCAAGAAAACTACCTATTCAGAGTTCTAGTTCTTTGATGCAGCATTAAGGATTAAAACTTACCACTTTACCAGGCCTTGCCCATGTGCAAATAAATCCCTCCTGACAAGCAGTGACTATACAGTCTTCAAGAAAAATTAACACAGTCAGTCTTTCATGTGCTATCTTTTTACAGATAAGAGGCTCTAACAAGGGAACATCTTCCATTCGGGGACAGAGAGGTGTTCCCAAAGTTTTAGCTGGGTCCGTTTTGGTTTTAGTAACTAAGTTCAGTTTGTCACTGCTCTTGCTAGATATATGTCCCATGCTATGATTTCTCTTGTGATCTTTTTCATGGTGTCTTTCCTTTCGATCATGTAGTGATAAGGTTGCAAATTTACTAACGCCAGAAGCAATGGCACCATCCATGACACTGCTTTTACTGCCAGCATTTGAGACTGCAGAATGCGGAAGGCTGTTTGACCGTGGAAGAGGAGGGGGTACAGAGTTTCCAGGTGTTGTGATACTGTTTCCATTACTTCCTGGGTTAGTTCCACCACTTCCAGCAGGTGGACTTGTGGCATTCATGACATTTGTATGTGTCCTTGCTCTTGAGAGAGGTTGGTGGGGGAAGAGGATATCTTCTGTAAGATCCCACAAACAAAGCTGTGTGTCCTGGCCTACGGAACCAAATCTATACGTAACGCTTACTGGACGACTGTCTGTAGAGTTCCTTTTGGATAGCCTAGATTGAGTACTATTTGCTCGATCTCTGCCAAAATGAAGGTCTTGGAAATCCTCATCACTTCCACTAAATTCCATCGGGTCACTCTCTTCTACGCTAGTGGTATATGGATCAAATGCAACAACACTGACCCATGACTTATGTCCGTGGCCTCTCGCTATTACTCGACAGTCCACAAAAGACCATACTGTTACCAAGTCATCCTCTCCACCTGTCACTATGTATTTCCCATCAGGACTCCAACACACGCACAGCAGTCCTCCAAAGTAGCTTTTCATTGTACCATGCAATTCCACTGAATCAAAGTTAAACACACGAAGGAAACCATCCTGGCTCACACACGCCAAGAACTTCCCATCTGGGGAAAAGGCAAATTCATTCAGGGCACCCTCACCTACTGTCCATTTAAGCAGAGGGTTTCTTGTAGATTTACTCTTGCAAGTGTGTACTGCAAAACTTTCTCCTTGTTTAAGTAGCTGGTAGTGCGGGACCGTGGTACCACAAGTGTGCTCCACGTTATACAAGTACATATTGCCACTGGAATGAGCTACTAGGAAAAGGCTTTCCGAACCTGGTACCCATTTTACACAGGTTACTCTGGACTTGTCTATTAGTCTCTGCGAAAAACAAAGAAGATAAACATCAGAAAGTCTGAAAATTAAAGTTTTAATGATTAACGGTAAATCTCAGCTTGGGGAGAGAGTGGGATGGGGAACAATACTTAAGTGAACTCAGCTTTCTAGGAGGGAGCTATGTTACTGCATTTGCAAAAACTTATCGGGCAGTAAAGAGGAAATTATTTTTAGACAAAATGCTACCAAAGGTTATTATTATGGTCCAGTCACATTCCACAAAGAACAAACTTCAATCAAGCCAATCTGTTGTTATGAATCTAAAGGCAGTGTTCTTAGCTTTATTTTTCACTGTGTAGGTTGAAGAGCTTGAAAAGGAAACAATCAAGAAAACACAGATTTAGCTACAGGGAAAAAAGGCAGTTACTGATCTATACTACATAGGTTACAAATCAATAACAGTAAATTCAGACTCTGGTTTTACCTGAAATCACAAATAAGATCCATCCTCTCAAGAAGAAATTAAAAAAAGGAGGCTTTAGGAGCCTTTACCAGGTTTTACTGATTCGGGGAGGAAAAGCTACAGACACATTCACCCTGTTATCAGGTGGCTGGAAAGTTAGTAACTAAATGCACAAGGTTCAGTGAGTGAATTGAAAAGGCACCACATACTCTTCACCTGGGAATCCCCACCCTCCAATTACTTTTCTTTCATTAGCCAAGGACCACTCAGTTACCACCTTAGAAGTTCCTTTTTAATAGAGTCTACCACTGCAAAAGAATGAACACACACATTAAACAAGCATTCCTGATCATAATGTCTTCAATTCTGTAAGAACTGAGAGATAAAGTCTGACTCCTTGAATTTGCTAGTGTAGCTCTGATGGACCAAGCTGGCCATAGCATGACTCAAATGCAACTTTGAGACAAGTAATTCTTTACATGCACACTGAAGATTTGCATTTGACATAAGACTGGTAACAGGCTGAAAGAAAAGGTGAGTTACACTAACAGCAAGAATGCAAAGACAGAGCCTAAGGAAATACCAGGACAAGTTACAGAAAAGTTAAAAAAACCCCAAACAAACAAAAACCAAAGAAGAAAACCAAACAAAACAAAAAACCTACACCAAAACAACCCTAAACCCTAGCTATGCTGTTTATCACAAAACAAACCCCAACAAATAAACAAACAAACAAAAAACCAACAAAACAAAACCCAAACTAACGGATAATGCATTAACTGTTATCCACTCTGGGCGTGTACCTAACACCGGAAAGCAGCATCTGATCATTTTAGATCATACTTTTGCATATACTTTCGCTGCTCAGTGTCAAGACTAGGAAGCCTGTCTCCTGTGATTTCTCATTAGTTAAATTAGCCATTTTGTACTTGAGAGCTGAGGTATGTAACAATCTGGGCTTTTCCTCAAATGCAGTAACTTCAGAACAACGCATTCTTAGCTTCTGTTGTGATATTTTAGGTAGTTTGTCATGTGTTCATTGATATTTACTATTCATATTTTAGAAACGATGGTATCAAGTATTAAATAGTTACCTGGTACACACCAAGGGAATACAGTCAGAGAACATCAGCCCAACTGGCTTGCTATAAGCAGAAGTCTTCTCATCATGAAACTACCATTAACACGGCAACACAGCACAGTTTCTTGCTCTCCTGTACTAGAGCAGCTCAACCTGACATACACCCTCTACTCACAAGAGCAGTTTCTCAACTTTTAAACTAGAAATAACATTTTAAGTCCATAATCATGTTAGGCTACACACTCTTAAATACTGTACAGGAATCCTGGAAGTCTGATCATTACTTCAAGGAGAACATGAACAAAACAGAAGACTGCCATCTACAATGAGAACAGATTAGCTCAAGGAGACAAGATGCAGAGAGACTTTAAGCTGTTATGTAGCAACTGACTACGTACAACTCATCCTTTTCTCAACTAGCAGAGCTTTAAATTCAGCAAGATGATAAAAACTCTAAATTTAGCACTTCCTGAAGTTTCAAAAGCTTTCAGCTGGGCTCAGGCACTTCTGCAGCACAGCAGAACAAGACCTGAAGTCAGTATGACCAACAGCTGCATTACAAAAATGGACTGAAAGCAGTACAAAGCAATCAGGGAGGTAACTGGGATAAGGAGCTTATGTCCAGTTTGGTGAAGGAATAGTAAATGAAGGAGCTTCAGTTAAAGTCAGAAAGACAAGGCAGGCCAAGATTATCCTGGTAGCCACGTTTTGCACAAGCTTGAAGGGACAAAATTATAAACATAGGCCTCAAGGAGTGAAAAAACTGAGACAATCAAGAATGGGCATTAAGGTCTGAAAAAGAGCTTTGGCAACACAGGTATAGGAAAAGTATTAGGAAATAAAAATGCAACTTAAGATTTTAGTTAAAATAAACAAAAGAGTAAGATGAAAGAATTATAATTAAATTTGCTAACTTGAGAATAAACAACTACCACCTGAAAACAACTGAATCTGTGAGGCATACTTGGTTGGTTTTGGAAATAAGAAAATGCCACTAATTAAATTCTGACACAGCTAGAAGGAATACTACTGCTGTAACAGACTGATACAGGTAGGCAGCCACAAGCTTTATAGTAGCATGCATATCAGCCTTTCAAGTCCCTACCGTCTTCTATATCAACAGAATTAAAAAGAGTAACAAGTTAAAGCTGCATTAAAGTCTTTGCATTTTAAGTTCAACATAACTTTCTGTGTCATAACAGGTAAAGTTATTTCACATATCACATATGATTAAGTGCTATCCTGATTGCTTTATCACAAGTGACAGTCAAAAGACAGCTTTGGGCTACCTGAATCACCAAATTACTAACAGGCCAGGTGGTGAATTCTATTACCTCCAGCACTCCTACTAAATCTGTCAAAATATATGAACCCTTGTTTAGACGACCTTCTGCCTATGAAGACATGTTTATTCTCAAACACTCAACCCAACAGCCAAGTTCATCTTGAAGCAAACTGGCTCCAACTTAATGCTCAATAATCTTTGAAATGGCTTTTATCTACAAGCCCAAACTTCAAAACACTTCCAGTCCAAACTTCAATACTGTAACTCACAGATCAAAAATACAGAGTTTTAGAATTGGTTCTACCTGCAGATAACATCAGTGTAAAACCCAAGATTTTGTTATTTAACTCTAGCCTACTCTGCACGTGGTTTTGGTAGCACTGAACAAATCCTTATGCTAGCTTTGTAGAAAACAGATAATCTCTTTTACTTTCCACCAAACTGCCAAAGAATGCATTCCCACCACAGGGAAGTAATGCTTCCCAAGAAAGAAAAGACAAGAGTGTTGAATGGAAGCGGCTTCCATGCTTCTATCACTTGTGGACTACCACAAGCTGCATTGCAGACTGTATAGTTCTTTAAACTGTAGACACTAGACAGTAACTAACAAAGGCATATAAACACACACTGGACCTTTATTAAATATTTCATCAGAAGTTCTTCCCAAAGCAACCGCAGTTCAACTACAAGAGTGGGAACTGTTCTGTGATATGAAACTCTAGCTGTTATAGTACTTCTAATGCCATTTGTAATACTTGCACTATTACCATGCAAGGTTAAGTTGAAGCTGTACTTACACAAACAACTTGTTCCCATCCAAATTAGCACTCCCAGTGGCGAGTTTGGTGTGTTTTGGTTTAGGGTGGATTGTGGTTTTGGTTTTTTGGGGGGGGGAAGAGGAGTAAAAGGGGAGTGTGGAAGTGCAGGCAGAAAAGTGTTAGAACAACGCTAAAATGAACATTTCAACTATGTATGCAGAAGTTTCTACCAGAGTACTCTGCAACATTTAGAGAATCTCCAGCACTGTTTCCCACTCGACACAAGCAGACAGAGCAGGTGGGAAAATGCTAGGTAAGAAGAAAAGCACCCCTCTTCTGATCTAGCTGTAGCTACTTTTAGAAATCTGAGGAGGAATTAGCTCTAATTATAAAACATCCCCACTGAGAACAATAGTTCAACCTTCTTTGCACAAAGAGCAAGGCAACACATCTCTCTGAGGGGGGAAAGATATGCTTGCTCAGTTTGAAAGCTGAGCAAGGCTTACCTTTATCTGCAAAGCTTTTATCCAAATTTTAAATAGCTAAAAAAAAAAAAAAAAAAACCACCAAAAAAAAAACCAAACCAAAAACACACCCCAAACCAACCAACAAAAAAACCAACCACAAACCCACAAAACCAAACCAACCACCAAAGCTCTTTGCTATTTGCTATTATCCCCCACAGTTCACCTGCAGCTGGATTAAAACACAAAAGGGAGAAAAAAATCCCTCACACCCCAAAAATACCAATCATCTCCCCCAACCCACCCAAATTCCTATTGCTATCCTCTGCAGAAAGCGCTGTCAAAAGTTGTACCAGTTACCAGATTTCCTTCCTTGTTCGCATCTAGACACTTAAAATTCTAAGAATGCCAGTACTACCAGGTAATGGGAGCCAGTGGCCCGGTAACTAGGCATTAGTACCCCCAACAGTACCCCCTTCTATCTTCTTACCACACAGCAGCAAAAAAAAAAAGTAGATGAAGAGTTTCTTTCAGGAACATCATATGGCTAAGACCTCACAAGCCTTTGGCTTTTTCTATGCAGCATTCAGCTTGATATCTTAGTCTTGCCCATGCAAGCCTATGGGAATCCTTGATACAGACAGTGTCTGCTGTAACATCCTACCCATAAAAATCAGTATTTTCACCTTATTTAATATGTTGACCAGAATATTAATTAAATAGTAAATAAATGTTTTCTTCCTCATTCAGAGCCAGAAGCCTCAGAAACAGGTGACTGCAGAGCACATGCAGCAACATTTAGATCTGCAGACCTTCTTTCTCCTCAGTTAACTGTAATTAACACTAGTCACAGTATTACGCAAACTAGAAAGTCCTAATTTTTGATCTTAACCCCCAAAAATTTCTTCATGAATAATGTTTTTGTGTAGCTATTTCAAGACAATGAAACAGCTGAAAAACAAAGGTGGTGACTGAACAATAAGCCATATAGACAAAGAGTCACCTACAGGACTTTGAGAATCTAGGATCTTTGATACCACAAACACATTGCATGCAACAATGTTAAGATTTCTACTTACTTCCTCATTAAATAATTTGCTAGTTTCTTTTTTAATAGGGTCTATAAGTTGGACCTGGCCTGCAGAGAAGCCCACTAGAAGAGAGACACTTTCTGCTGTGGCTGTTAAGTGATTGAAGTCATGGCATGTAGGTTGTGTTCCTTTGTATATCCTTTTGTCTATTGGTTTACTCAAGTCCGCAGCCTGCAAAGAAAACAAACAGAGTTAAAACAGTTTATCACAATGCATGCATACAACCAGCTCTATTTGCAAATACGGTTTATACTAAGCAATAATTTATGTAGTCACAAAAATCCTACTTTTAGAAGAAACTATTTATCAAAGACATCCCAAGATGTTGTCAAAAGGTCTGTCTTTTCATATAATAAAACACCTCTGTTTTTCAACTTTGCTAAACACTATATCTATCCCTAGCCTTTGCAGGTTGTCACAAACCAGTGACAACCGTTCAGTAAAACAAAAGCTGCAGTGAGTCCTCAAGTCAATATATTCCGAGAAGAGGCATACCATCACAGAGGCAAGTTATCTTCTACTTTCCTACTACCAGCTTTCTCAATATTGAGTACAACCAATTTTGGATTAAGAACAGCATATTTTCAATCACCTGATTCTTCTACTGTAAGTCTATCCTTTTATAACAGACAAACATAAGATATTGGTCTCAATTAAAAAAATATCAACTAGATCCTAGGACAGCATTTTGCTAGGAAAACTGACTCAAGATGCTGATGCTGTGATTATAAGCACATTTTAAGCCATTAAGCTACAAAGTAATTGTGCTTCTGACACTGAACACAGACTTCAAATACAGTGCTAAAATAAGACAAAATGAGTGCTAACAAAACTGAGGAACTTCAATATAAACAACTGAAGATCTGCTACTAAAGTGTCAAAAGAATCAAAAGAAACAGAAAAGCAATTTAAAAATGCCTTTTCAGTTTTGTCACCCATGTTTATCCCCGTATCACTTGTGAAGGCAACCTAACCTTTCATCATCCAGAAATTAAACCCCACACATTTCATATGCAAGATCATACATCAGGTTCAACTTTTGTTTTTTTCAATCCCTATTTACTAGGCTCAGAGTCTATAATTAGAAAGCTGCAGATACTCAACAATATTCCAGACCTGTGATGTAGACCTCAGCCCGAACCATGCTGAACAATCAGAGAACCACAGACTCTCCCAGCCAGCAGAAAACATGAATATTGCCAGGTGTTTCTCCTTCTGAATCCTATCCTTTTCAGCAGCAAAGGATCAATAGGTGGCTATTTTCAGACTGGAACTATACCTTGCTCTTTTGTCTGACTGAGGTTTTATATCACTAGCTTTTGTTTTTGTTGTCCGACAAATTTGGTGCGACTGAAGTTCCCAGTCTTCTGAAATTGTGTGATAATAGATCTAGCAAGACATGAAATTCTGGTAAATTAAATCTAAGCACAGACTTCACCATGCTTGTTATAGCTGTTCTCTGGGAACCAGATGGCAGTGACAATCTGTCTGAATTTAAATGGAGTAAAAATAAACTAATTCAACCCAGAATTAAACAGGCTTCTACTGACAGGGATGCTCCACCTTTTGTTTACATGCAGCTAGCGTTTTCAGTTAAAATATAGTTGTCTCATGGAGATAAGTCAAATCTCCAAACACAGACTCTACCGATCTTGATATCTCTTAATTGAAAAGACAGGGTAGATTCAATGAGCATAAGAACTAGGAGACATTTTCTTTATTTCTGCATAGCAGAATGCTGCTATTGGATTTTGCTAAGAACAAGAAAAGTGCTACTCAAAATCCAACCGTGCCTGGGACTCGGCATTTCATTAGCTCCCTACTAAATACATTTGCTATAGCTATTTCATGGAAGATCCAATTCTCAGAAAAGAGCTTTTACATGAGATCTGAGTCCATAACTGCCAAATCCCAGGATGTGATACTATCTACTGAAGAAGATGTGAGCTGTCACCCTCTCAGAAGAATGATGTACTTTAAAAGAGAACAGAAAGATCTTGAGATTGTTACTGAACATGGAGGTTAAAAAAACACAGATTAGGCACTCTCACCTCCACCTGAGCTGGCAGTAAGCTATCTGCATACTTCCTGTCTCAGTTCCTGTAAGATTTTCCCCTGAAAAGCACTCAGCACTGTTTCAGCCTGTCCACTTTGAGAAGCTTACTCCATTGTGGACGACTTGTGATGAGAGCAACAATTTGTAATCACAAATGAAAGAAGGATGGGGCATCTAATGTAAGGCTAAGAAAAAAATACCAGCCTCCCTTTCAATAAAAATCTGAAGCCATTGAACTGCATTTTAGCTAATGAAAACTCTGGTATTAGCACCTTGGCCAAATGATACCCACATCAGAAGTCTTTTTTTTCCAACATACAGAGTATCTCATGTACCCCTCGGGCAAAGCAACAAGGAATGGTGGTTATCAGGCAACAAGAACATGAGGAATTTCACACAACACCTGTCTAAAGTCAGTGATACAGCTGAACAAATTTGTGTACCCTGGGCATCAGCAGCTTCAGAGTCCTGCCTCGGAACAGATTTAAACTCTCTAGAGAGCCCTATGCTTACTTACAGAAGAAAAACTGGCCAACTTTGCCTTTTAGTTCTTTGTGATAAATTCATATTCTAGAAATAAAATGTGAACCATGTAACTCTTCTGAGGATTTCCTAGTGTCATTTACTTAACTCTTACAGCACACTCTCTTAGCTAGATTAGCCCCACTCTGAAAAAAAAAAAAAAACAAAAAAACCCCAAACAACTAACAGACTAGCATTTGCACATTCACCCTGAATTCATGACTTCCAGCAGAAAGGCAGTCAAATAGAACATCTTAACCACAGTGTGGTAGCCTGACCAGGTGCCCACCAAGGCCACTATATCACTGCCCTCAGCTTGACAGAGGACAGAAAATACAACAAAAGGCTCACGGGTCAAGATAAGGACAGGGAGAAGATCACTCAACAGTTTACCATCATGGGCAAACCAAACTTGCCTTGGGAAACTAGTTTAATTTACTACTAATCAAGTCAGGGTAGGATAATGACAAAAAAAGCCCAATCTTAAAAAAATTTTCCCTTCACCCTTCCTTTCTTCCTGGGTTTAACTTGACTCCAGATTTTCTCTGCCTTCTCACCCACAGCAGTGCAGGTGGATGAGAAATGGGGAATTGCAGTCAGTTCATCACAAGTTGTCTCTGCCACTCCCTCCTCTGGGGGAGGACTCCTCACATTCTCGCCCTGCTCCAGTGTGGGCTCCATTCCACAGGAGACAGTTCTCCATGAACTGCTTCAGCATGGGTCCCTCCCATGGGGTGCAATCCTTCAGGAACAGACTGCTCCAGCCTAGGTCCCCTGTGAGGTCACAAGTCCTATCAGGAAACCTGTTCCAGCACAGACTCCTCTCTCCACACAGCCACAGGTCCTGCAGGAGCCTGCTCCAGCATGGGATTCCCACAGTGTCACAGCCTTCTTCAGGCATCCCCTCTGCTCTGGCATGGGGTCCACCAAGGGCTGCAGGTGGATATCAGCTCCATCAGAGACCTCCATGGGCTTCAGGGGGACACCACACCATGGTCTTCATCAAGGTCTACAGAGCAACCTCTGCTCCAGCTGCAATTGCTCCTGCACACTTTTCCCTCCACTTCTTAACTCTGTTCTCTTAGAGGTGCTACCACCATTGCTGATGGGCTTGGCCTTGGCCAGTGGCAGGTCCATCTTGGAGCTGCTGGCATTAGATCTATAGACATAAGGGAAACTTCTCACAACTTCTCATAGAAGCCACCCTGTAGCCTTGCCACAGAAACCCAATACACACAACTTTAAGTACCAAAATACTAGGAAGAAAATGGGGAAAATAAATAATAATAATAATAAAAATAGTTATGTGAGTCTGAAGCAAATCATTTAAGTTTTCAGATTCCAATGTTTGAAATGTCTGATTAGGATGGGCATCAATAACCTCTGTTCCACAGCTGTATGTAATTCTAAGGTCAAAGCCAGATTAACACCTACCCAAGATTCATTCTTTTTATGTACTATTGATTCAAGACTTAGAGCTTTCATACTAAGATTTCCCAAAGTGAATCATGTTATTTCAAAGTCAGCATTTAAACATCCTTCTCAACAAATTTGATTCCTTCGTGTACCTTTTCTTTCTTAATTTGCACCTTTCTGCAAATTTTAGTTGAATGAAATTTATCATAGATGCTACATTTCCTTCCAAGTTACAAAACATCCGAGTTCAGAAAAATAGTTAGTAATTTATCTCAGATAATTTCAACTGCAGTCATCAAAATGCTCCCTTCAGATACTTAATAGTATTTAATATCACATTTACCAGAAGACTGGCTTTCAGTGGATCACAGCTGTGAGAGTGAGACAAAATATTAGGTCTTTAAGCCTAGAAGTGAGGACAAACATTCAATAAAAATTTTACTTCTGAAAATTGTCTTAAGAAAATCTCTCTTGTCCAGAGAATTAATTGATCTTAAACAGAGGATTACTGGCCATGTACATAAAGCTCTACTGCAAAATAAAAAGAGAAGACAGAAAGAACCAAGACACTCTACTTTTGAAAGCAATTTCCTCAGCATTTCTGGAACTTGGAATTCACAAGTGATTACCCAAAGCTTCAATACTTTGCTGCCCAGGGATTTAATGGTCCCTGGTCTAAAACCAGAACAATTTGAGAAAGCTGTGCTTGTTATAATGCTATACAAGTAACATGAGTAATAACACTAGGAATTGATTTCTAAGTGAACTTTACTGAACTTCACAGACAACTCTTTAAAACCTAGCTGGAAAAAAGAGGCAAGGTAACCCCTGCTGATGCACCTTGCCGTACCCCCTCATGAACAGGGCAGTCTTCCAGGACTGACGTGCTCACTGGATTAGCAAGGACAGGGAAAACTAAACCATAAGCCCCCTTAAAGCTTGTGTATTTTTCCTCCACATCTGCGCTGGTCTTCTTTTCCTTACAGCAGAGCTAGCTGAAGGTCAGAGAAAGCTGAGGAATATGGCAAGAAAGCAGAGTTATGCTAGGCACTTTTGTAGAATTTTCTGGTGGGGTCTATTTTTTCTGTATGCAAGTATTTCTACCAGAAATACCAGCTTCAATATTCACTCTGGAAAGCCCTCTCATTATTATCAAAGGAGTAGATTCCCAGATTAT